CAGCTGTTACCCAGCATGCAACAGGAGTCCAGACAGAGGAGTCATATTTATAGAAAACGGAACTGTCTGTGAAAAAGTCCGAATTTTCCGAATTTTGAGAAAAGTCAGAATTTCCAGAGAAAGTCAGAAAAAGTCAGAATTTTGTAGAGTTTTGAAAAAAAGTAATTGTTTGATTTCAGAAAAAAAAATCAGAAAGTCATAATTTTGCAAAAAAAGTCATAATTTTGAGGGAAAAAAGCTGCAGATGGGCCGCGAGCTGATGCTGGTCAAGTGGGTGGTCACGTGCACATTACCCAGCATGCAACAGGAGCATTAAACACATCTCTAACCTCACAGTCTCAGCGGCACTACGGTTCAAACGTTTGAAAACAGCTGAGACGTTCTTCTTCTTTCCGGCGTTTTATTTAGTTCCCTTACTTTCGCATATTCTTTTTTATTCTCTTACAGATTTATTTTCTTTTCTTATGAGTGATTTCTTTGTTCTTATTAAAAGAAAGAAGAAGATCTGAACAATAGGAAGGACTTCCACTGTCAGTATGAACATTTATTTAAAAACTATACATGAGAGAAACAAATGCGTCACTTCCGGGCAAAAAGTACGGCTCCGCCCACTTTTGGGGGAAAACAAAGCTGTCATCTGAACGGCGATCAATACAAACTCTGAAGTTTTTGCCAATCCGATCAGAAATGTAAGAAAACCGTGGATTTGTGGATCTTCAAAGAGCCCGGTTACGATGTTCAGTCAGGCAAACAATTACATTAAATCATTGGAAATCGACGATCGGGCTCGATATATGGTTAAATATAGCAGTAGGCGATCGATGTCCATAGATGAGAGTAACATCTACGTCACTTTACGGCCCCGCCCACTTTTGGGGGAAACAACGCTGTCATTTGAACGGCGATCGAGCCTGAAGCCACAGAGCTCTTCTTTTCCTGTCCTTTCTTCTTACGGCCCGTCCACACAGCGGCGTGCGTTGGAATATGAGGAAATGACCTGCGGTGTGTCTCTCCCAGCATACACGCGTTTTGATTGGCTGCATAAACGGGATTTGATTGGCTGACGCTTCCACCGAAGCTTCAGAAGCTTCAAAAGTTGAACATTTCTCAACTTTTGCAGCGAACCACGCCAGCAAAGCTCCGCTTCGCTTCCCACAATGCAGTTCGGCGAAAAGTGACATCACCCCATTCAAGTGAATGGTGAAGCTTTCAACGCACGCCGCTGTGTGGACGGGCCGTTAGAGGAAGTACAGAAAAACGTAACTCTGGATTTGTTTTAATGTTTGAGGTGCAATAAACGACACAGCAGCTTGTTGGCGTGATCAAACTATTATGTCCCGCCTCGCTCATGAGAGTAACGGCTGGAGAAATTACAGCCTCGCCTACTGATTTTAATTTAACCATATATCGAGCCCGATCGTCGATTTCCAATGATTTAATGTAATAGTTTGCCTGACTGGCCATCGTAACCGGGCTCTTTGAAGATCCACAAATCCACGGTTTTCAAAAAATTCTGATCGGATTGGCAAAAACTTCAGAATTTGTATTGATCGCCGTTCAAATACAAAGACAGCGCTGTTTTCCCCCAAAAGTGGGCGGGGCCGTAATTTTCGCCCGGAAGTGACGTAGGTGTTACTCTCATCTATACAACACTAAACATATTTAATATTTTATTTATTTATTGCGCTTTAATTTTCCACATTTTCTATTTTACTTATGAGCCTTTTTCCGCATTTTTATCTCCTTATTAATTCATTTATTTTATTTATTTTATTTATCAGTTATCATTTATTTATTATTTAATTAATTGATCTTTTTATTATTCATTAATTAACACTGAGCTGCGTGACGCTCCCTGAGCAGGGAGGAGGAGGCGCATCGCAACGAGGAGCAGAGAGCATTCTGGGAGAACCGGCTCGACCAATCAGAGCAGGAGAAGAAGAGACTGGAGGAGCAGCTCGACCAATCAGAACAGGAGACGAAGAGCCTGGAGGAGCAGCTCGACCAATCAGAACAGGAGACGAAGAGCCTGGAGGAGCAGCTTGACCAATCAGAGCAGGAGACGAAGAGCCTGGAGGAGCAGCTCGACCAATCAGAGCAGGAGAAAAAGAGACTGGAGGAGCAGCTCGACCAATCAGAGCAGGAGAAAAAGAGACTGGAGGAGCAGCTCGACCAATCAGAGCAGGAGAAAAAGAGACTGGAGGAGCAGCTCGCTATTTTAATGGAAGCTGTGCACGACTCACATCTGCTCCTCAGCCAATCAGAGGCCAGCACACAGGAGGTGAGAAGGAGGTGTAAAGATTTAGAGGAGCATCTTAAAGCTTCTAGAAGGAGGTGCGAGGAGTTAGAGGAGAATCAGAGGAGGTGGGAAGAGTTAGAGGAGGATCTTAAAGCTTCTAGAAGGAGGTGCGAGGAGTTAGAGGAGCGGCTGAAGGAGGCGTGCCGTCAGCTGGAGGAGAGCATCGTCTTCCTGGAGTCTCAGGAGCTCCTAAACAAACGCCTGGAGGAGGAGGTGCAGGAGACGAGGAGCAGGGAGGAGGAGCAGATCCTGCATGAGTGCGCCTCCTCCTCGCTGACGGAGGAGAAAGATTCCCTGAGGAGAGACCGCGCCCGGCTGATCCAGGATCTGAAGGAGCAGGCCATGGCTGTGGATCACCTGCAGGAGGCACTGGACGGGATGAGGAGCGACGAGGAGGCGCTGCAGGAGGAGGTGTGTCGTCTGAACCAGGAGAACAGGAGCTACTCAAGACTCGCTGATCAGCTGTCAGAGCAGATAGTAGAGATGGAGGAGGAGATGAGGAGGAAGGAGGAGAGGGAGAGGGAGGAGAGGGAGGAGAAGATGAGGAGGGAGGAGGAGATGAAGATGTTTGAGGAGGAGAAGAACATTTTTGAGGAGGAGAAGAAGATGTTTGAGGAGGAGATGAGGAGGAGGCAGCAGGAGTTTGAGGAGGAGAAGGAGAAGACGCAGCAGGAGTTTGAGGAGGAGATGAGGAGGAGGCAGCAGGAGTTTGAGGAGGAGAAGGAGAAGACGCAGCAGGAGTTTGAGGAGGAGAAGGAGACGCAGCAGGAGTTTGAGGAGGAGATGAGGAGGAGAAGAAGGAGGCAGCAGGAGTTTGAGGAGGAGATGAGGAGGAGGCAGCAGGAGTTTGAGGAGGAGATGAGGAGGAGGCAGCAGGAGTTTGAGGAGGTGAAGAAGGAGACGCAGCAGCATCTGGAGGAGATGGAGGCTCTGGTTCTGGCTCTGGAGGAGGTGATGGACTCCTCCTCTCCTCACAGGTTTGTGGAGCAGGAGGAGAAACCTGGAATGAAACACTAACTCCTCTGAGGAGGTGACTAACTGCATCCATCATGAGAAAGAACTGCATCCCCCACAATGCACTGCTCTAACCGTGACCTCATCTCTAACCCAATGACAGCATGCAGAGTTGATACGCCTGCTTTTATGACATCACAACGTTTCTCTTGATTTCTGCTTTGATGTTTGTCGAGATCCAAAAGGAGATCATTAACATGATGACGTTTTTCAGGAGAAATCACATTTAAATCATTATAATCATTTCTTAAAGTGGATCTCTCATGCCATTTGGAAAGATCTATTGTATACATACATGTCTGTGAAGTTTTTTACTTAAAATACCAAACATATCCCCCATTGTAGCCATGCCTCATACTGCTCATACCCCTCTGTTCCAGCCCTGTTCCAAACAGGCTGATTCTGCTGCTAGCCACGCCCCTTTGTAGCTGCTGCTAGCCACGCCCCTTTGTAGCTGCTGCTAGCCACGCCCCTTTGTAGCGTCAAGCAGCTTTCCCCTGCCGGGAGATCTCAGCTAAACGCTGCAGTGTCACGTGTGCCGGAGAATATAGGTTGGGACGTGTCACGTGTGCCGGAGACAATAGATTGGGACGTGTCACGTGTATACGGAGACGATAGGTTGGGACGTGTCACGTGTGCCGGAGAATATAGGTTGGGACGTGTCACGTATGCCGGAGAATATAGGTTGGGACGTGTCACGTGTATACGGAGACGATAGGTTGGGACGTGTCACGTGTGCCGGAGACGATAGGTTGGGATGTGTCACGTGTGCCGGAGACGATAGGTTGGGACGTTTGCCGGAGACGATAGGTTGGGACGTGTGCCGGAGACGATAGGTTGGGACGTGTCACGTGTGCCGGAGAATATAGGTTGGGACGTGTCACGTGTGCCGGAGACGATAGGTTGAGATGTGTCACGTGTGCCGGAGACGATAGGTTGGGACGTGTCACGTGTGCCGGAGAATATAGGTTGGGACGTGTCACGTGTGCCGGAGACAATAGATTGGGACGTGTCACGTGTGCCGGAGACAATAGATTGGGACGTGTCACGTGTATACGGAGACGATAGGTTGGGACGTGTCACGTGTGCCGGAGAATATAGGTTGGGACGTGTCACGTGTGCCGGAGAATATAGGTTGGGACGTGTATACGGAGACGATAGGTTGGGACGTGTCACGTGTGCCGGAGACGATAGGTTGGGATGTGTCACGTGTGCCGGAGACGATAGGTTGGGACGTTTGCCGGAGACGATAGGTTGGGACGTGTGCCGGAGACGATAGGTTGGGACGTGTCACGTGTGCCGGAGAATATAGGTTGGGACGTGTCACGTGTGCCGGAGACGATAGGTTGGGACGTGTCACGTGTGCCGGAGAATATAGGTTGGGACGTGTCACGTGTGCCGGAGAATATAGGTTGGGACGTGTCACGTGTGCCGGAGACGATAGGTTGGGACGTGTCACGTGTGCCGGAGACGATAGGTTGGGATGTGTCACGTCTGCCGGAGACGATAGGTTGGGACGTGTCACGTCTGGCGGAGAATATAGGTTGGGACGTGTCATGTATGCCGGAGACGATAGGTTGGGACGTGTCACGTGTGCCGGAGACGATAGGTTGGGATGTGTCACGTCTGCCGGAGACGATAGGTTGGGACGTGTCACGTCTGGCGGAGAATATAGGTTGGGACGTGTCACGTGTGCCGGAGACGATAGATTGGGACGTGTCATGTGTATACGGAGACGATAGGTTGGGACGTGTCACGTGTGCCGGAGAATATAGGTTGGGACGTGTCACGTGTGCCGGAGAATATAGGTTGGGACGTGTATACGGAGACGATAGGTTGGGACGTGTCACGTGTGCCGGAGACGATAGGTTGGGATGTGTCACGTGTGCCGGAGACGATAGGTTGGGACGTTTGCCGGAGACGATAGGTTGGGACGTGTGCCGGAGACGATAGGTTGGGACGTGTCACGTGTGCCGGAGAATATAGGTTGGGACGTGTCACGTGTGCCGGAGACGATAGGTTGTGGGACGTGTCACGTGTGCCGGAGAATATAGGTTGGGACGTGTCACGTGTGCCGGAGAATATAGGTTGGACGTGTCACGTGTGCCGAGGACGATAGGTTGGGGACGTGTCACGTGTGCCGGAGACGATAGGTTGGGATGTGTCACGTCTGCCGGAGACGATAGGTTGGGACGTGTCACGTCTGGCGGAGAATATAGGTTGGGACGTGTCATGTATGCCGGAGACGATAGGTTGGGACGTGTCACGTGTGCGGAGACGATAGGTTGGGATGTGTCACGTCTGGCCGGAGACGATAGGTTGGGACGTGTCACAGTCTGCGGAGAATATAGGTTGGGACGTGTCACGTGTGGCCGGAGACCGATAGGATTGGGACGTGTCATGTGTATACGGAGACGAGAGGTTGGGACGATGTCACGTGGTGCCGGGAGAATATAGGTTGGGACGTGTCACGTGTGCCGGAGAAGATAGGTTGGGACGTGTCACGTGTGCCGGAGACGATAGGTTGGGACGTGTCACGTGTGCCGGAGACGATAGGTTGGGACGTGTCACGTGTGCCGGAGACGATAGGTTGGGACGTGTCACGTGTGCCGGAGACGATAGATTGGGACGTGTCACGTGTATACGGAGACGATAGGTTGGGACGTGTCATGTGTATACGGAGACGATAGGTTGGGACGTGTCATGTGTGTCGGAGAATATAGGTTGGGACGTGTCACGTGTGCCGGAGACGATAGGTTGGGACGTGTCACGTGTGCCGGAGACGATAGATTGGGACGTGTCACGTGTATACGGAGACGATAGGTTGGGACGTGTCATGTGTATACAGAGACGATAGGTTGGGACGTGTCATGTGTGTCGGAGAATATAGGTTGGGACGTGTCACGTGTGCCGGAGACGATAGATTGGGACGTGTCACGTGTATACGGAGACGATAGATTGGGACGTGTCACGTGTGCCGGAGACGATAGGTTGGGACGTGTCACGTGTGCCGGAGACGATAGGTTGGGACGTGTCATGTATGCCGGAGACGATAGGTTGGGACGTGTCACGTGTGCCGGAGACGATAGGCTGGGACGTGTCACGTCGGCCGGATGTCGCCAATGACGTTATAGGAGCGAAAATCCTGGATCTGCTTGTTAGCACTCCCCTTTTTTTTTTTTTAGAGAGAGAGATGAGGGTACAGAGGAAAAGAGAGAGGGTTTTGTTTTCTTACACTTGGTGAGTTCCCTGACACACCGGGGACACACCGGGGACACACCGGGACACACCGGGACACACCGGGGACACACCGGGACACACCGGGACACACCGGGACACACCGGGACACACCGGGGACACACCGGGACACACCGGGACACACCGGGGACACACCGGGACACACCGGGGACACACCGGGACACACCGGGACACACCGGGGACACACCGGGACACACCGGGGACACATATTTATGTATAAAAGACATAAAAAAGTGCATTTTGCATGATAGGTCCCCTTTAAGTTTAATTCAGTTTCAAATAATTATGATTTAAATCTCATAGAATTTCACAGGTTTTTTCTTGAAGATTTACAATTTCTGCCACTTTTTTCTCGAGAATGTTCCTCTTTAATCTCAGAGAATAAACACGTATTTTTCCTGCAAATTAACGACTTTAATGTCAGAATTCTTGGCTCTCTGGCTCTCTCTGTGTGTCTCTGACCCGCCGCGCGGCGTCTCTGACCCGCCGCGTGGCGTCAGCGCTGATGGAGGTGCTCGTCTCTGATTGGTCTTGTTTCTGCAGGACTCAGCTGGAGGAGGCGCGCTCGGAGAACGTCTCTCTGCAGGAGCGTCTGAGCGTCCGGCAGCAGGAGGTGCAGAGCCTGGAGGAGGAAGTCTCCAAGAGGAGGTGAGAAACACTCTGTTTTAAAGAGGCCCTATTCTCTTCTTCTGTGGTGTTCCCTCTGCTGTAGGGTGATCTGTTTCAAAGGGTGTTCAGTTGCAGCAAGGAGTTGATCCATATTGAATTAAGAAATCAAAGTGGTCTGATTGATAAACCTCCTTCTCCTCCTCCTTCTCCTCCTCCTCCTCCTCCTCCTCCTCCTCCTCCTCCTGTGGTCAGGAGGAAGCTGGAGGAGATGGAGTCAGACCACGAGAGGAGCAGAGAAGAAGAGGAGCGGCTGCACAAAGAGGCAAGAAGAGATTCTAGAGATTAAATCATCATTTATAGAGAAGAAGAAACACATGGTCTGACTCCTCCTCCTCCTCCTGCTCTTCCTCCTCCTCTCTACAGAACTCTGGGTACCGTGAGGAGGTGCTGTTGCTAAGCAGCAGGAACCTGCAGCTTAGCAACGAGAACGCTGAGCTGAGTTCTCTTCTCCATGGAGACCAGGAGTCGGTCCGGATGCTGCGGGAGCGCCTGGCAACCGTTGCTAAGGAGCAGGAAGATGGAGGGGCCACGGTGAGCGACGCTTAGAAAACGTTACTCTAGCAAAGGTTTCCCATCAGATGAAGTTACCTCGCTGCAGAGGATCAGCTCTGAGGGTTCATCACCATGAGCTCAGCAGCTCCACCTGAAGGCTCCTCCAGCAGGGCAGCAGGAATATATACAGGACATAGAACAGATACAATAGATCAAGAGAATGTTTTGAGATGTGCAAGTAAACACAAATAAAATGGAAATAGTGCAAGAAGAGTCTCTACAAGTAGATGGAAAATATATTTGATAAATAATTGTCTAGATGCAAACAGATGGATGTTCTTCACAGAGTTCAGGTGGTGAACAGTCTGTGGTTGTGTTGCAGGTGCGGCGGCTGCAGGACGCGGCGCAGCAGCAGCAGAGAGAGAAGATGCAGCTGCAGGCGGAGAGGAAGCAGGAGAGGAGGCTGCAGGAGACGGAGCTGAACAACTGCAAGGAGAAGGTGCTGAAAACACCACCATCTTTGATTTATATGATCACTTTGGTGGTGACGTGAAGTCATGTGACCGTGCTGTAGTTCCTTGATAGCCCAACATTAGCCTCCTTTAGCTTAGCGGTGGTGACGTGAAGTCATGTGACCGTGCTGTAGTTCCTCTATAGCCCAACATTAGCCTCCTTTAGCTTAGCGGTGGTGACGTGAAGTCATGTGACCGTGCTGTAGTTCCTTTATAGCCCAACATTAGCCACCTTTAGCTTAGCGGTGGTGACGTGAAGTCATGTGACCGTGCTGTAGTTCCTTTATAGCCCAACATTAGCCTCCTTTAGCTAGCGGTGGTGACGTGAAGTCATGTGACCGTGCTGTAGTTCCTTTATAGCCCAACATTAGCCACCTTTAGCTTAGCGGTGGTGACTTGAAGTCATGTGACCGTGCTGTAGTTCCTTTATAGCCCAACATTAGCCACCTTTAGCTTAGAGGTGGTGACTTGAAGTCATGTGACCGTGCTGTAGTTCCTTTATAGCCCAACATTAGCCACCTTTAGCTTAGCGGTGTGACTTGAAGTCATGTGACCGTGCTGTAGTTTCCTTTATAGCCCAACATTAGGCCTCCTTTAGCTTAGAGGTGGTGACTTGAAGTCATGTGACCGTGCTGTAGTTCCTTTATAGCCCAACATTAGCCACCTTTAGCTTAGAGGTGGTGACTTGAAGTCATGTGACCGTGCTGTAGTTCCTTTATAGCCCAACATTAGCCACCTTTAGCTTAGCGGTGGTGACGTGAAGTCATGTGACCGTGCTGTAGTTCCTTTATAGCTCAACATTAGCCTCCTTTAGCTTAGCGGTGGTGACGTGAAGTCATGTGACCGTGCTGTAGTTCCTCTATAGCCCAACATTAGCCTCCTTTAGCTTAGCGGTGGTGACGTGAAGTCATGTGACCGTGCTGTAGTTACTTTATAGCCCAACATTAGCCACCTTTAGCTTAGCGGTGGTGACGTGAAGTCATGTGACCGTGCTGTAGTTCCTTTATAGCTCAACATTAGCCTCCTTTAGCTTAGCGGTGGTGACGTGAAGTCATGTGACCGTGCTGTAGTTCCTCTATAGCCCAACATTAGCCTCCTTTAGCTTAGCGGTGGTGACGTGAAGTCATGTGACCGTGCTGTAGTTACTTTATAGCCCAACATTAGCCACCTTTAGCTTAGCGGTGGAGACGTGAAGTCATGTGACCGTGCTGTAGTTCCTTTATAGCCCAACATTAGCCTCCTTTAGCTTAGAGGTGGTGACGTGAAGTCATGTGACCGTGCTGTAGTTACTTTATAGCCCAACATTAGCCACCTTTAGCTTAGCGGTGGTGACGTGAAGTCATGTGACCATGCTGTAGTTCCTTTATAGCCCAACATTAGCCTCCTTTAGCTTAGCGGTGGTGACGTGAAGTCATGTGACCGTGCTGTAGTTCCTTTATAGCCCAACATTAGCCACCTTTAGCTTAGCGGTGGTGACCTGAAGTCATGTGACCGTGCTGTAGTTCCTTATAGCCCAACATTAGCCACCTTTAGCTTAGCGGTGGTGACGTGAAGTCATGTGACCGTGCTGTAGTTCCTTTATAGCCCAACATTAGCCACCTTTAGCTTAGCGGTGGTGACGTGAAGTCATGTGACCGTGCTGTAGTTCCTTTATAGCCCAACATTAGCCACCTTTAGCTTAGCGGTGGTGACCTGAAGTCATGTGACCGTGCTGTAGTTCCTTTATAGCCCAACATTAGCCCCTTTAGCTTAGCGGTGGTGACGTGAAGTCATGTGACCGTGCTGTAGTTCCTTATAGCCCAACATTAGCCACCTTTAGCTTAGCGGTGGTGACGTGAAGTCATGTGGACCGTGCTGTAGTTCCTTTATAGCCCAACATTAGGCCACCTTTAGCTTAGAGGTGGTGACTTGAAGTCATGTGACCGTGCTGTAGTTACTTTATAGCCCAACATTAGCCACCTTTAGCTTAGCGGTGGTGACGTGAAGTCATGTGACCGTGCTGTAGTTCCTTTATAGCTCAACATTAGCCTCCTTTAGCTTAGCGGTGGTGACGTGAAGTCATGTGACCGTGCTGTAGTTCCTCTATAGCCCAACATTAGCCTCCTTTAGCTTAGCGGTGGTGACGTGAAGTCATGTGACCCGTGCTGTAGTTACTTTATAGCCCAACATTAGCCACCTTTAGCTTAGCGGTGGAGACGTGAAGTCATGTGACCGTGCTGTAGTTCCTTTATAGCCCAACATTAGCCTCCTTTAGCTTAGCGGTGGTGACGTGAAGTCATGTTGACCGTGCTGTAGTTCCTTTATAGCCCAACATTAGCCTCCTTTAGCTTAGCGGTGGTGACGTGAAGTCATGTGACCGTGCTGTAGTTCCTTTATAGCCCAACATTAGCCTCCTTTAGCTTAGCGGTGGTGACATGAAGTCATGTGACCGTGCTGTAGTTCCTTTATAGCCCAACATTAGCCTCCTTTAGCTTAGCGGTGGTGACGTGAAGTCATGTGACCGTGCTGTAGTTCCTTTATAGCCCAACATTAGCCACCTTTAGCTTAGCGGTGGTGACTTGAAGTCATGTGGACCGTGCTGTAGTTCCTTTATAGCCCAACATTAGCCACCTTTAGCTTAGCGGTGGTGACGTGAAGTCATGTGACCGTGCTGTAGTTCCTCTATAGCCCAACATTAGCCTCCTTTAGCTTAGCGGTGGTGACGTGAAGTCATGTGACCGTGCTGTAGTTACTTTATAGCCCAACATTAGCCACCTTTAGCTTAGCGGTGGTGACGTGAAGTCATGTGACCGTGCTGTAGTTCCTTTATAGCCCAACATTAGCCTCCTTTAGCTTAGCGGTGGTGACGTGAAGTCATGTGACCGTGCTGTAGTTCCTTTATAGCCCAACATTAGCCACCTTTAGCTTAGCGGTGGTGACCTGAAGTCATGTGACCGTGCTGTAGTTCCTTTATAGCCCAACATTAGCCACCTTTAGCTTAGCGGTGGTGACGTGAAGTCATGTGACCGTGCTGTAGTTCCTTTATAGCCCAACATTAGCCTCCTTTAGCTTAGCGGTGGTGACGTGAAGTCATGTTGACCGTGCTGTAGTTCCTTTATAGCCCAACATTAGCCACCTTTAGCTTAGCGGTGGTGACCTGAAGTCATGTGACCCGTGCTGTAGTTCCTTTATAGCCCAACATTAGCCACCTTTAGCTTAGCGGTGGTGACGTGAAGTCATGTGACCGTGCTGTAGTTCCTTTATAGCCCCAACATTAGCCACCTTTAGCTTAGCGGTGGTGACGTGAAGTCATGTGACCGTGCTGTAGTTCCTTTATAGCCCAACATTAGCCACCTTTAGCTTAGCGGTGGTGACCTGAAGTCATGTGACCGTGCTGTAGTTCCTTTATAGCCCAACATTAGCCACCTTTAGCTTAGCGGTGGTGACGTGAAGTCATGTGACCGTGCTGTAGTTCCTTTATAGCCCAACATTAGCCACCTTTAGCTTAGCGGTGGTGACGTGAAGTCATGTGACCGTGCTGTAGTTCCTTTATAGCCCAACATTAGCCACCTTTAGCTTAGAGGTGGTGACTTGAAGTCATGTGACCGTGCTGTAGTTCCTTTATAGCCCAACATTAGCCACCTTTAGCTTAGCGGTGGTGACGTGAAGTCATGTGACCGTGCTGTAGTTCCTTTATAGCTCAACATTAGCCTCCTTTAGCTTAGCGGTGGTGACGTGAAGTCATGTGACCGTGCTGTAGTTACTTTATAGCCCAACATTAGCCTCCTTTAGCTTAGCGGTGGAGACGTGAAGTCATGTGACCGTGCTGTAGTTCCTTTATAGCCCAACATTAGCCTCCTTTAGCTTAGCGGTGGTGACGTGAAGTCATGTGACCGTGCTGTAGTTCCTTTATAGCCCAACATTAGCCTCCTTTAGCTTAGCGGTGGTGACGTGAAGTCATGTGACCGTGCTGTAGTTCCTTATAGCCCAACATTAGCCTCCTTTAGCTTAGCGGTGGTGACGTGAAGTCATGTGACCGTGCTGTAGTTCCTTTATAGCCCAACATTAGCCTCCTTTAGCTTAGCGGTGGTGACGTGAAGTCATGTGACCGTGCTGTAGTTCCTTTATAGCCCAACATTAGCCACCTTTAGCTTAGCGGTGGTGACTTGAAGTCATGTGACCGTGCTGTAGTTCCTTTATAGCCCAACATTAGCCACCTTTAGCTTAGCGGTGGTGACGTGAAGTCATGTGACCGTGCTGTAGTTCCTCTATAGCCCAACATTAGCCTCCTTTAGCTTAGCGGTGGTGACGTGAAGTCATGTGACCGTGCTGTAGTTACTTTATAGCCCAACATTAGCCACCTTTAGCTTAGCGGTGGTGACGTGAAGTCATGTGACCGTGCTGTAGTTCCTTTATAGCCCAACATTAGCCTCCTTTAGCTTAGCGGTGGTGACGTGAAGTCATGTGACCGTGCTGTAGTTCCTTTATAGCCCAACATTAGCCACCTTTAGCTTAGCGGTGGTGACCTGAAGTCATGTGACCGTGCTGTAGTTCCTTTATAGCCCAACATTAGCCACCTTTAGCTTAGCCGGTGGTGACGTGAAGTCATGTGACCGTGCTGTGGTTCCTTTATAGCCCAACATTAGCCACCTTTAGCTTAGCGGTGGTGACGTGAAGTCATGTGACCGTGCTGTAGTTCCTTTTATAGCCCAACATTAGCCACCTTAGCTTAGCGGTGGTGACCTGAAGTCATGTGACCGTGCTGTAGTTCCTTTATAGCCCAACATTAGCCACCTTTAGCTTAGCGGTGGTGACGTGAAGTCATGTGACCGTGCTGTAGTTCCTTTATAGCCCAACATTAGCCACCTTTAGCTTAGCGGTGGTGACGTGAAGTCATGTGACCGTGCTGTAGTTCCTTTATAGCCCAACATTAGCCACCTTTAGCTTAGCGGTGGTGACGTGAAGTCATGTGACCGTGCTGTAGTTCCTTTATAGCCCAACATTAGCCACCTTTAGCTTAGCGGTGGTGACGTGAAGTCATGTGACCGTGCTGTAGTTCCTCTATAGCCCAACATGAGGACCAGGGAGATGCTGCCTTCAGGGACCAACATAGAATCCCTGTTAAAGCCTTTGTTATCTTTTATATTCTGACTCCACACGTTCATATATTAACTATATTTGTTGCTCCTCAGATGGAGCGTCTGTCTGGACTTCAGTCTGAGCTCAGCAGTTTGACTCTGAAGCTGCAGTGGATGGAGGAGGATAAACACAAACTGCTGAGGGAGGCAGAGGAGAGGAACAAGAAGGTCAGATCTCAGGCGCTGTAGGAAGAGAGTAATAACTACAGCGATGGGAGGAGGAAATATAAGAGAAGAAAAACATAAATATTTTCTGAGATTAAAGTAGTATATTTTGATATAATATCAAAATTATATTTATATATTTTTTTTAAATCAAAAAAACGATAAAAAGTATATTTTTTGAGATTCTGGAGCTCATACTTTTACAAGAAATTGAACAAGAAAATTATAAAAAAGAGGTTCAAATTAACTGGAAATAACTACATGTTAAATGGGGCGAAGCCTGCGAGCTAGTTCAGGCAGTCAACTCGAGCACCAATGATACATTAACACGTGACGCGCCTCGTCCCTCTAACAACCAACCAATCACATTCTCCTAAACATGCCGCTCTATTTAAGCTGCCAGGTCTTCCTGCCTCTGCCTCACTATGCTGCTGCTGCTGCTGCTGCGTCCATGTTGCTGCTGCTCGCCTGCCCCCCCACCACCCCAACTTCCACCACCACCCCAGCTTCCCCCCCAGCTTCCACCCCACCACCCCAGCTTCCACCCCAGCTTCCCCCCCAACTTCCACCACCACCCCAGCTTCCACCCCAGCTTCCCCCCCAACTTCCACCACCACCCCAGCTTCCACCCCAGCTTCCCCCCCAGCTTCCACCCCACCACCCCAGCTTCCACCCCAGCTCCACCCCAGCTTCCACCCCAGCTTCCACCCCAGCTTCCACCCCACCATCACCCCAGCTTCCACCCCAGCTTCCACCCCAGCTCCCACCCCAGCTCCCACCCCAGCTCCCACCCCAGCTTCCACCCCAGCTTCCACCCCAGCTTCCCCCCCCAGCTTCCACCCCAGCTTCCACCCCAGCTTCCCCCCCAGCTTCCACCCCAGCTTCCACCCCAGCTTCCACCCCAGCTTCCACCCCACCATCACCCCAGCTTCCACCCCAGCTCCCACCCCAGCTCCCACCCCAGCTTCCACCCCAGCTTCACCCCAGCTCCCACCCCAGCTTCCACCCCAGCTTCCACCCCAGCTTCCACCCCAGCTTCCACCCCAGCTCCCACCCCAGCTTCCACCCCAGCTTCCACCCCAGCTCCCACCCCAGCTTCCACCCCAGCTTCCCCCCCAGCTTCCACCCCAGCTTCCACCCCAGCTTCCACCCCAGCTTCCACCCCAGCTTCCACCCCAGCTTCCCCCCCAGCTTCCACCCCAGCTTCCACCCCAGCTTCCACCCCAGCTTCCACTCCAGCTTCCACCCCAGCTTCCACCCCAGCTTCCACCCCACCATCACCCCAGCTCCCACCCCAGCTCCCACCCCAGCTCCCACCCCAGCTTCCACCCCAGCTCCCACCCCAGCTTCCACCCCAGCTTCACCCCAGCTTCCCCCCCACCACTTCACAGCTTCCCCCCCACCATCAACCCAGCTTCCACCCCAGCTTCCACCCCAGCTTCCACCCCAGCTTCCACCCCAGCTTCCACCCCAGCTTCCACCCCAGCTCCCACCCCAGCTTAAAAATTACTCAGAAAAACTGATAATAATAAAAGTTTGATTTATAATCTACAAAAATATATTTGTTAAAGGGCCCATGTCATGGCCATTTCCACTGATCATAATTACATTGTTGAGGTATACTAAAATAGATTTATACTGTGCAATTTTCCAAACTCACATTGGTTTCGCATACAGCATCTCTGTCAAGCATGTGTATTCAGCAGTATTTCACTTTCTCCACTAAACGACTCGTTGGAGCTCTTGCCCCCCCCTCCCTGTGAGCCTAGTGTGCTCCGATTGGTCAGCTCGGCCACTCGTTCTGATTAGTCAACCACCAGAGAGGCTGCGCCCATGTCAGTGCTTTTCCCGGCTGCTCTCAGCGTAACATCAGTCTTATCATGGCGTCGGTACAGCGGTATATTTTATATACATATATATTTTTAACTGTTGTTATAGAAGAGTGTGACGGCCTCAGGGCCTTTGTCTTACGGTGGGGTGGAGCTGAAGAGGGTAATCAGCGCGATCACGGACACCTCCGTAGCCGGTGCTATTAATCCCAGCGGCCCGGAGTCTCTCTCCAAAGCGGCTGCAGAAGGACGAACTGAGCGACCCTCTCCCCTCGACCACCTGTCTCTGCATTTACTACAATAAATGTGCCGTGGTTTTGTAAACTCGTGTATGTCTCCTTGTCTTTCCGTTGTGGCCTACGAGCGACTCTCATAACAAAGAGTAAGTTATTTTTACCCGTTATAAACTACTACTGTTTGATGAGAAATCAAATCATGGTTTGCTATATATGAATTCAGGGAAGAAAGGATAGGCCTACTAAGTATTTCCATTAAACTTTATTTTTAGAAATGTACAAAATGAACATAAATATACATATATACACGGTATATCATCCATTCCTCCTCCTCGCATCTTGCCTGCGCACAGTCGGTGCGGTGCCTTTTAGCACCCTCAGTAGTAGTAGAAGTGCCTTTTAGCACGAGGCCTCAGTAGTAGTAGAATCCCTTCCCCGTCATGGATTGTCCGCCAGGATCTGGCTGGACGAAATCAAATGCAAATCACAAAATATTAGAGAAACTTAGTTGTTTTAGATTCGTTAGTAGTAGTTGTGTAATGAACAGCTTGCCTGCTAATATGCTAACCTAGCTTTGTTTACCTTGGTAGCTAACACGATATGAACGTTAGCTTGGAGGAAAGGCAACTATAATGCAGTGTAATAAAACTACTATGAACAAAAGCTAGTGGTTCATATTAGGCTAGCAATAACGTGTTTATAATTGCAATCGTATACGGGTATTCTGCTACCATACAATGTAACTTGCATGAATACATTGTTTTGCGCTAGCATACAGCTTGCCTCGTTAGCTACATGCAGTATATGTACGGTCACAATGTACGGTAAATCACAGTACAGTATACTGTATGAGTATTCCGTGTGTGTGAATGCAGACATTCTCCTGCCATGACAAACATGTAAGGCCATCTGCTGACATTGTAGTTGATATATTTAAACGCTAGCAACGTAGCATCACAAAAATGTTTTTCTGACCGAAACTAGCTCTAGCTCCGTGTGTTAGGTCGCTACGCCAGCTATAATGTAATTACGTTTCGCGACTGACCGGCAAATCACCCGCAGTATACTGTCAATAGGTATTTTGTGTGTGAATGCAGACATTCTCCTGCTATGAGATACATGTATGCAAGGCCATCTGCTGATATTAGAGTTGATATATGGAAACTCTAGCAACTTAGTTAGCACAGTTAGCACTGTGTCAATGGCTTAGCAGTCCAACACAGTTTACACATTTAAACAGTCTTGTTTGATAAATACACAAATAACAATGCAAACTTACAGGTTGTATACCCAGATCTTCCCCTGCTCCAAACGGCCCAAACAAGCTGTGCATATCCGGCCTCAAACTGGGCAATGTTTTGGAAGCTTTCGTCTGTGAAATGCCGGTTCTTCGAACCTCTGGAGGAGGAACACGCCGCTGCTGGTGTGGCCATAGCTCTTCGGGATTGGTCCATTTCGTTCCGGGTACCGCATGACATCAGGCGGTACCCGGAACTAAATGGAAGACTCAAATGGGCAGTGACGTATCTCCAACGAGGCGTTTTGGGGAGGTATTTTCTGTGTTAGAGTTTTACTCGCTACAGGGTGTACTTTGAGGGTTTTGACTCTGCACACCGTTTACATGCATAAAAACCTTCATAACACAAGGGGACGGGTAATAACCGGAAAAGCATGACATGGGAGCTTTAAATTCACTTAATTCTCGTAAACTTGCAACTTTAATCTCAGATCATTTCCAATTCCTTCTTTGATAATCTACCATTTGTAATTCCAGAGCCTCTGAAATAAAACCCTCCTTCTGCATCTTAGTTATTATTTAGTGTCCCTGATCCACACCCTGAAGAAACCTGTAATAAATGCATCCCATAATAACCCTCTCTGTTCTTCAGGTGGATGGTTTGGAGGCGGAGCTTCTTCAAGATCAGCTGCTCTCCGTCAGCCAGGAGAGACATGAGCACGCACAGGAAGTGACATCACTGAACAGGAAGCTGCAGGACGCGCAGAGCACGGTCAGTTTATATATCGGGAAATATTTAAATTATTAAATTCAAAGAAATTCAAAAAGGTTTTATCACATTTTTTTGTATTGTATAAAATGATTGGACGGAAGGCATAATTAAAATAAATGAAATACAACAAAATAAGTGATAAAGTAAATGAATAAAATGATGTAAATAGTGCCTTTTTAAAGAGGCTGTGTTCTGTGGCTGTGTTCTGGGTGAAGGGCCCGTTATCTCAGATCAATGAATATGATTTGAATGTGAGATTATTGATCTGTGTCTTCCTGTGTTCAGCTGGAGGATCTGCTGAAGGAGAAGGAGGCTCCGAGCTCCCTGCAGGAGGAGAACCTCAAGCTGAGAGTCCAGAACCAGGAGCTGCAGCACAAGGTACAGAAACAGAACCACAACCAGAACCAGAACCACAACCAGAACATGAACATGAACATGAACCAGAACCAGAACTAGAGCCAGAACCAGAACCAGAACCCCCAAAAACACCTGGAGTAGAAGCAGAGCATGATGGGATTCAGGAGATAAACCCACGGATTGATTTGACTCTAATTTACTGACGTTATCCCCAAAGGTTATAGGATTGAAGTTATTCATTTAGAACTAAATTAAATCCTATATATATTAATTATTTTTCAATATTCACGAGATTACAGTGAATTTACTGGGAAAAACTCCAAGATTCAAATAATAGTTTTACAAAAACTTTAGAAAAACTCCCAAATTTCCCCCAAAGAAAGTGAGATATTCTGAGATTATAAAACCATCAATTAGCAAGAAAATAAATGACAATTTCACGTGAAAAAAACTTAGATTTATGTTTAGATTAAGTAGAGAGAAACTTAAATATTCTTCATTATAAAATCAATCAGTCATTTTATCATTTTAGTCACAATTTGACACGAAAAAAGTGTTTCCTCATTTTTTGACTTCTACTCAAACTTTTTTCTCATATTTAATTTGGACTTTTTACTCAAATTACTGTCTTTCCTTAGAATTCTGTATTTAATCTGAATAATTTATTTAAAATAAAACATAAATATTCAAAATAAAATGTTGGATTAAAATAAACACATCAAATGAAAGACCATTTGTAATCTCGTTTCCTGTGAACATTCAGCACTGATCTGATTGGCTGCAGTCTGACTGTGATTACATATGATAACGTTGAGATGTTGAGACGCTGTTTCCTGTGTCAGCTGTCGGAGCTGCAGGTCCGCGGGCTGGAGCTCCACAAACTGACCCTGGAGCAGCAGAACCTGAAGAGCCGAGTCAGAGAGCTGCAGGAGGAGCAGAACCAGAACCAGGACCAGGTCAGAACCAGAACCACTGCATAGTGTTTACAATCATCTGATCTCACTGGAACCACTGCATAGGGTTTACAATCATCTGATCTCACCAGAACCACTGCATAGTGTTTACAATCATCTGATCTCACCAGAACCACTGCATAGTGTTTACAATCATCTGATCTCACTAGAACCACTGCATAGTGTTTACAATCATCTGATCTCACCAGAACCACTGCATAGTGTTTACAATCATCTGATCTCACCAGAACCACTGCATAGTGTTTACAATCATCTGATCTCACCAGAACCACTGCATAGTGTTTACAATCATCTGATCTCACCAGAACCACTGCATAGTGTTTACAATCATCTGATCTCACTGGAACCACTGCATAGGGTTTACAATCATCTGATCTCACTGGAACCACTGCATAGGGTTTACAATCATCTGATCTCACCAGAACCACTGCATAGTGTTTACAATCATCTGATCTCACCAGAACCACTGCATAGTGTTTACAATCATCTGATCTCACCAGAACCACTGCATAGTGTTTACAATCATCTGATCTCACCAGAACCACTGCATAGGGTTTACAATCATCTGATCTCACCAGAACCACTGCATAGGGTTTAACCTGTTAAGCCCGAGAGACCCCGGTACCGACGCCCTCCCGCAACATCTTGCAGGAAACAGTGTCTGAGGGCATGTTCATTTAATAAACTGAATGTTTTATATCCATGTAACGGAAAGAAACTCATCTAACTGATCATTTTAATTTTTTTTTCAAAATAAAACCCACAATGCTAACACTGAGCCTCTGAATTAGCAACGAGCGAAAAATGCTAACAGATTACTGCACCTAATATCACTCACAAAACCTTATTATGTATCTTTTCACCACATCCATGACATCGTTTCACATCGTGAGGTGACACAGAATCGATGGGTACCCTCATTATCACTGAATTATACGAACACGTGACTTTATAAACAAAAACAGACATCAAAACATGTGGCGCTAGGTAGCTAAAAACGCTAACATGGCTTACCTGTGTCGTAGTCTGGTCCAAAATGGTCTTCAATGGCATTAAAAACGATAAAAAC